CTCCAGGATTGTATGTAGTTATTTTCACAACACGTTATTATATATTAATATTTTTATATATTTTTGGAATAAATCCGTAGATGACAAATGCCTATTACAATTTATCGCAGGGCAACATTTTATCTTAAGATTTCTTGCTCACAAAAAATGGACGAATGCAACAAAGTACATTTACCAAAACTCCTTTTTTCTTTCTTTTTGTTCACTGCTATGACTTATTTTTTCCAAATGATACAAAGTCAATCTTAAATTGTCACCAGAACCCAGTAAAAAGTGCTGATTTGATGGCAGTTTGGCTGTTTTTCAGTGACTTATCAAAGTGATCTGATGAAACCGCTCAGAAAAATAATGCCTGTTTAATTTCTCGCCTGAATGTGCGATCACACCCACAGTTTCTTTCCTTTATTGAAACAAGAGCGAAGGCTGACTGCATTGTCCTCGTGCATCAGGTCAGATTACATGTAAAATCTACCACACTGTAGATTAGCCAGAACGAAAGTCACGTGGAATCCCTGTAAATTTAACAAAACAAGATGAACTTGTTGGCATCTTTTGCTGCAGTTTGTTAAAAACACCTGTGCTCAGATCCTTTCTCTAAGTAAAAGCAGACATAGCACAAGTAAAAGTCCTGAACTGAATTCAAAATGTCACTTAAGAAAAAGTACTCATTCTGCAGAATGGCTCCTTTTGAAGTGTTATGTAATGCTAGAATATTATATTATTCTGTTTTTAGCACTCATAGATACACTTAATAGTATTTTAATGTGGTTCGTCACTGTGGAGCCAGTTTGAGATACTACTAGGTAGATTAGAAGTACGGTACTGCATCATTTCACATAAGGATATCATATGTTTTATATACAAAAGGTAACTAGTTCTTAAAGTGTCAAATACATGAATAGTAAAAAGTACTATATTTCTCTCTGAACTGTAGATAAGGTATAAATGAATATAAAAGGGAAATAGAATGTCAAATTGTACTTCAGTGCAGTACTTGAGTAAATGTACTTTGTTGCATTTAAAGTAAGTAAGAAATCTTAAGATAGATGTTGCCCTGCGGTATATTGCAACAGGCTTTTATCATTTCTGGATTTATTCCAAAAAATATTCTACAGAATAATGTGTTGTGAAAATAACCGCCAGCTGCAGCCGCAGTTGCTGACTGGTTTCAGTCCCGTTGAACCACACTGTAAATTACTAGGAAGAGCTCAAATGAACTGAATTAAAGGGTAGAGAGCCAGCTCGACGTGATTAATCTTCTCTCATTAAAGCTCCACCAGTAAATAACAACATCAACTTCATTAGTAACTGAGACAGAAAAACTACAGAGCCGCTCCGTTCATTTCCCACACTTTTTTTGGAGACTTAAGAATGTGAGCTTTCATATCCAAATATATTGTAACACTGAATCGACAAAATTAGTTGTTTTTTTTTTTTTTTGTCTTTAGCTATGGAGCTTCTCCTGAATGAACTCTAACATGAACACAGCATGTTAACACAGTGTAACATACTCCTGATGCCATAAGACAAGGTAAAATAAATAAAAACCATCCGCTTAAATACACACGATTGTTTAAAAAATATGTTAGGTGTGGTTTTTTTTTAAATATCCAATTTGGCTTCAATCATTAAACTCTTGAGAGCATGTTCTTTACTGCAGGTACAGTAGTAATGCAACAATGCTGTTTACCAAACCTACTTCTGAAATGCTCCTTGTCAACCAGGCTTTTTTTCTTTCCATAGTCATAGTGCGTACCTGATCCGCTCAAATGTTTGAAGGTGATTGGTTAAGGGGTGGAAACAGATCTTTCCAAACAGGTCAACGTCAAAATTTGAGACGTGTAAATGTGTCAGGTGTGTGACATTCACTTAAGAAGAAAGAAACAGCACCTTCAAATTCATTATGGCTGTCAGAACTGTGGTTACAGGTACAAGGTATATTTAGCAGGTTATAAAGACTAAAAAATGAGTTGCTAGGAGATCTAACACATTAAAACATTATATAAAATGGATGAAAAACAGTGATCAGATTATAGTTTATATCGATTACATACACTACTGACTACTACTAACACTTTGAACTTTGCTAAATGTTATCTGTATATGTAATCTGTCTAATAACATCTATGTATAAGAGCTAGTGAACAGATTAAAGGGCAAACATACCACTGATGCTGTCACTCTTTGCTTCTTCTACGCACTGTGACAATTGTGTCTCCAGCTTGTCTCGCTAAAAGGGGGCTTTGTAAAAACAGGTTGCCTACATGATGGTGACACATTCTTGACCTTTAAGAGTTAATAATATAATCATCTTTTACCAGCAGCGACCAGACGCCAGCGCTTTGTTGTGATGGAAATTGTTCATTTTATGGGAAAAGAGCAACCAGCAGCGGAGCAGTGGGAGTATTGTACAGACTGTGTGATGTGAATGCTGTTAAACCACAGCAGTAGGGGAATAACACTCAGCTGAGGGGCTGTGAAGATATTAAAGGCCTTGAAACTGCCACTGTACAAAAACATCCAACTCCAATTGGAAAGTTTTGTTCTAAAATCAAAAATCCACCGTCTGAACAACACCTACTCTTCCAAAATGACTGCTCCATGCAGGTAAAGCACCCTCTCCTTTTTTAATGTGAAACGGATGAACCTATGTAATAGTTCTTTTCAGATACACATTTATGGTTTTGAAATACTGCTGAATGTAACAGTGTCTTCTCTAATGAACTATGGTGTTTTTTTGTGCTTCACAGCTGTTGAAACCTATGAGAGCCTCTTCAGTTTTAGTTGGATGGTTGACGTGTAACTTGACAATAACACTTGGCACAAGTCCCAAAGAACCTGAATTAAGAGAACGATGTTGACCCTAACAGCTGTAAAGGGATCTTTCATGATATCAGGACATAATTCATTAAGGTGCCAATTTGTAATCGTGCATGTCCACTCAGAGCGAGTTTCAGCACTGTTTTTCATCTCTCACCTGGCGTGTGGTGTACTTTGAACTCCGAGAAGGTGGGTGTGGATTTGAGTCATAGGGGGTGACAGAAAATGAGCCTTTGAGATACTGGCCTTTTGATTTGGCTCATCTATATCAATTCCAAGTTTCAGCTCCAACAGATGAGCAAAAACACAAAGAATCCATACAAATTCCATATTCTCAGACTTTAATTTAGTACAAACTGAAGGTAATTGTCCTAAATGAAACAAAAAGGCATGCAGCCCTGTCTGGACATTTAGTGAAAGATTCATTTCTGTAAGACTCACAGATTAAAAAATAGAAACACATTCTAGTAGTACCATCGACATCTCGAGTATTTAGTTTGTGAAGGTTGAGATTTTGGCTCGTATTTCTCTTTTTACGTTGTTAAACGTTCTACATGTGGAATATTTTTCAAAAAAGGGATATCTCATCTGGGGATAAAACTTTTCATATTTTCCGCCTGATGTTCCTTCGCTGTCTAGAACAGGTTATCAGAACTTTCACAATCAGTGGCAAGCATCCTCAAAATAATAGGCAGCCGTCTGACGGCTCGGAAAAACACGTCACTACAATATCCTGTTTATTTTAACAAGGTATTGCGTTTTGGTCAAAACCAGACTTCCGCTATATATTACTCCTAATCAGCAGGAGCATCTTTCCTATAAGATGATCAGAACATGTAGGTAAGGCAGTGCGACACTATCATACAGTGTGATGCATCTTCTGTAGACGATGACTTGGTTCAGCAACTCAAAACATGAAGTGAGAGTGACTTTTATGGAGTTACTCATCTCAAGTTCACGCTTGTCATTTCTGTCTACAGTAACATAATTCTGGTTAGTCAACATCAACTTAGTCATGACTTTCACTGTCTGTTCCCCGATATCTGACCACTGTTGACACGCCGTGCTGTATGTTGATACTTTTTGAAATGTATCAAAAGTAAAAGTACTCAGTGTGCAGTGTTTTACTCTTATGTTTCTGGGTTAATATTACTGCTGCATTGGTGGGTATCTTGCAGTTTACTGCTGTAGACAACCACTTTATACACTGTTGGGTATTCTATTACCTCGTCATATATGTTCATAGTGTCTCTGACCTGTGAGAACCACGTGTCTCTGAAAAGTCAACTTTTCATGATCCAAGAGGGGTTTTAACTAGTTTATAAAACTTGAAGGTCCAGTGTGTAGGATTCAGTGGCTTCTAGCAGTGTAGTTCCAGATTGTGACTCGCTCGCTTCACCCTCCCTTTCCAAGCACGAAGGAGAAACTACGGTGGCTTTGAGAAACACAAACGCCCAGTGTTTGGTTTGTCCGTTCTGGGCTGGAGGACTCTATGGAAGGCGACCCGCAGTGTCTGTAGATAAAACCAGCTCATTCTAAGGTAACAGAAACATAATTCTGCTATTCAGGTGATTATACACTAAAGAAAACATAGCTATACATTTTGTATTATATTTCTGCCAATAAAGTCGACTAAATATTACACACTGAACCTTTTAGGAAGAGAGAGAGAATAAAGAAACACTTCACTCACTATCTTTCAGTTTATCAGAAACATTCAGAAATCCCATTTTGAGGTACGTGATTTTCACTGGGCAGGAAGGGTGTGAAAAGTTGGAATCTGAAACGTCACTAAAGCTGTCGGACTAATAGAGTGGAGTACAATGTCTTCCTCTCAGATGTAGTGGAGTACAAGTTTAAATTAGCTTAAAAAGAAATAGTCTAAGTCCCTTGTATGTACTTAAGTACAGCCCTTAAGTAAATGTACTGAGTGACATTGTACCACTGATAGTACGCAGTGTAGTGAACTTGACCACTGAGATTTTAAAAACCACAATACTACCACTACAGGCACTGCCCAGGGTTTCAATAGACACTGAATCTAAGGGGAGCAATTCTTTAACACACGTGGAAACATTTATCTCTTACAATTTGACATTAAATATGGTTTATATGCTATTTAAATACAATACTGACTCTAAGAAACCAATGTGTGTAAAAGTAACACCAGACACATCAACTATGATGAAATATATTTATTTTCTTACATTGTAGAAAAAGCTGTGCAAAGATACAGTATGTTAAAGTATTGTACACACTAAACAAATCTGCTAAGTCCCAAAAAAGCTACAGTATAAACTGTTCTGAATCCAAAATGAATCTTAAAAAAGGTCCCAGAACAACAGGCTCAGTAAAGGTTGGTCTTCTTCATGATCCTCAAGAACTCCAGCTCGCTGACCTCACCGTCCCCGTCTCGGTCTGCCTCGTCAATCATTTCCTGAAAGGATAAGAAACGAGTTCTACTTCAGTGTGTTCAGATCGAAAACGGTACAGTGAATCCAGCACTGAAAGCTGTGCTTCATACATCACATGTGTCAGACATGGGAAAAACCCTCACTCTCACTTGGACTGACAACAGGACATCTCAGTGCCCAAGTTCCTCAGAAATAACCAGCCTAAAGCAGCAATGTAGTGGCTGTTTTAACATTTTAACATAACATAAAGAGGAACAAACTAGGAGATGAGAGAAGAGAAACAAGTGTATGGTTTCATAGTGTCACAGAGTTGTACATATTCATAACTTTTCTGTGGCTTGTGCCTTCAGCAGCCACTTCTGAGTGATCAACATTTGTTTGGTTTTAACTTAAAAATACATTGTGCAAACCGTTGACCAAAGCCAGCGGACAGGAAAATGTGTTTCTAAATATAGCCATATTCCATATAAAGTGCACATTTAACAGATACAAAGCGCACGCACTCGTGCAAGTATCGGAAAACCAGCATATTACTGAAACTACTCTCAATCATCAAAACACGACAGTAGTTTGTATGAGGAAAATCTATCTTTCCAGTATGATTTTAAAAACAACAAAACAAACATCTGCCACGGGTTAAGACTATTTGTGGTCGTCAGTCTTGAGGCTGTTGGGGGGAATGGAGGGGAATCAGCAGACACAGTATGAGCAAGAGAAGCCTGCATCAAGAATCACAAAACAGAAACTATAAACAATTTCAATGAGGTTACAGGTTCCATTTTTATAATAAACCTCATCTCTCTCTCTCGCTCTCTCATAAATAAAAAGTCCTGCAAAACAACAACTGATTCACAAGCTTATAGATGAATTTCCAGGCAATCCACAAATGTATTCCTATCACTTAAAAGAAGCATTTAAAAGTGTTTCTTTTTTATTCTCAAAACTACTTGTTCAACATCCACATTATCAAGTTCCTTGCACACGTCATAAAAGCAATTTCTCATTATTTGGAAAAAAAAATATGTGCAATTGTCTTGTTTGTTGTTTTCTTTTTACAAAATAAAACCCTTCTCTAATCTTTTTCTGGTCTTATTGCCGTCCTCTGGAAATTCTCTCTCCCTTTTGTCTTTTGCACGGATTCCATTAATAAGTTACTATTATTGGTATTTTGTCAAGCAACAGAGAGTGACGGTGAATGTGAGTGAAGCCGAGGAAAAACAGAAAAGTCAGTCTGGTATTAAATGTAACGTGTAGTTTACAGTTTGAATAAAGGCTGCAGTTTTTAAGACCAAAGCTCCACATTTCCTAAATGTCAAGGTCTCCAGACAGGAGTAAAAGAGCAGTATTTGAAGCATATTTCATTAGTTACATATGTTCTGAAGCACAGTATAAAAAAAACTTAAATATGATATTTGAAAAAGAACACTGATCAAAATTAGAGAACACTTTCAGATACCTCCCAGTTATTGGTGTTAATCTGGCACCTGCTGCTAATTTCCTTAATTATCTGACAAAGCCTATTTAACTGGCAGCCTAACTTTCACGTTTTCACTGACTTTCCTTCTGCAGCAGGTTGTCCAGATGAAGGCCAAAGGGATGACCCTATCAGCCATAGCAAAAGAAGTTGGTCGTTCCAAATCTGTGATTTCTAGAATATTGCATCTTTACAATGTCACAAAATCATTCAAGTCCCCCAAGAAGGCTGGTCGTCCATGAAAGACAAATGCAAGAGAGGACAGGATAATGCGGAGAATCTCAGTGGGCAACCGGTGCAACGCTGCAGCTGGAATTGCTCGCCAGTTCAGCACTGAACAGGGTAAGCATTTGGACTGAAAGTCCACTCTGCAGAGACCAAACCTCTCATTGGCAGAAACAGCTAGACTAACCTTTGCTGAGGAGCATGTTGTGTGGACAGAGGAGAACTGGGCCAAAGTTCACTTTAGTGATGAAAGCAAGTTTAATTTATTTGGGTCCGATGGGAAACTTCATGTTCATCGTCAAACTGGGGGAAGACTGAACCCAAAGTGTGTAAAGAAGTCAGTGAAAGGTGGAGGAGGAGGATGGTTTGGGGAATGTTTACTGCAGCAGGAGTCGGGCCTCTTATACAGCTACACGGCAGAGTGAATGCAAATGTCTATCAGAACCTTCCTCGACAACATGTGGTTCCTTCCCTGCGTTCATCACCCAATCAGACAACAATTTTAATGCAGGACAATGCCCCCTGTCACACAGCAAAACGGGTAAAGCACATCCTTGATACTGAAGACGTTAAAAATAATGAAATGGCCGGCCCAGAGTCCCGATCTAAACCCAGTAGAAAACTTCTGGAAAATCCTTGGAGACAAAGTTATGGCCAAGAAAACCCACTACAGTCACCAAACTGTGGAAGGGACTGGAAGAAGAGTGGACCAAAATCACGAAGTCATTCAAAGCAACGGCCTGTACACTTCCTACTAATTGTTGACTGTTGTAACCTTCAGAAAATTAAGTTGTAATCTTTCTCCATGCTACGGTCATTGCTGTTCTCTAATTTTGATCATTGTGTTTTCTGCAAAATAAAGGGTTTTTTTTTTTGGTTTTTTTTTGTTGAAGTGCCTTGGTTATTTTATAAAACACTGTTCTAGTAGCATGGTATTGCCACAACAAAAATCCCTTCAAATGTTGAGCAATGAAGATTTCATTATTTCTGAAAAAATCAAGTGTTCATAAATTGCTCTTCAATTTCGATCTCCAGTGTACATGTATAGAACAAGAGACAACAATACCTGTAGTTCTTCATCTGTGAGGTTCTCACCCAGCTCCTTAGCAACTCTCTTGAGATTTTTGAATGAGATTGTGCCTGTGCAGTCATCATCAAACAGCCGAAAAGCCTTCATTATTTCTTCTTTGGAGTCCTTTTCACTCTACGAACAATGAAGACAAGACAAATAGATAACGAACGATGTATTGCAGCTTCTATTTACACTCTATCATTCAACTTCATGCAGCTGAAGCCCAATGCATTTTCTGTGACTATTCAAACATTGGATTTCAATATAAAAGACCTGAGGGACATTTGTTTCTGGGACACGGTTGGTTTTAAAAGCAACTGGCAGCCAAAAGTGATGAGATGAAACACACAGGTTTGTACCTTTATTAAAGGTTTTAAAGACGTTTGGTATGGTCTAACAGCTGTATTACACCCACCATTTTCAGTGACATCATACTGAGGAAGTCATTGAAGTCAATTGCCCCTGAGCTCTCTTTATCAATGTCTGCAATCATTTTCTTGATTTCTTCTTTCTTCGGTTCGAACCCAAGAGCTCTCATGGCAACCTGTGGCACAGATACATAACAAATGTGAGATCACTGTCACTTAAGGACATTTTATATCCAACCAACCATGAACTAACCTTTAACTCCTTCACGTCTATTGTTCCAGTTCCATCTGTGTCAAAGAGATCAAAGGCCTCCTTGATTTCTTGCTTTTGCTCCTCAGACAGATCGGCTTTGAGACTTTGCTTTTTCTTTTGGGCAGCCACAGGAGCTGGTTTGCGGTAACTTGAAGCCTGAAAAAGCAAACATTGCGGCGGCGTTGCTAACGTTACTTCATACAAGCTACTGAGCAGCTGCAGCCCACAGGAGGTGATTCAACGTTTTAGTCGGCTGTTACTATCACGCTAACGGAAGCTAGCTAACTTTAGCTTCCAGACTGCTACACGAGACCACCTTACACAAACCGCTTTATCGAACTATGTGCCAACTTTTCACGGCACATCTCTCAAATTCCTGAAAGTTTATACAGCGTACATTTCACACAGACATTTATATCAAGGCTTACCATTGAAATGAATGATGCGACCAGGGAACTTTCAATGATGTCGGATGTCAACAAACGGGCAGCAACGGCTGTATTCTAATGACCTGATAAAATAGCCAATAGAAACCATGAAAACATCGTGACGCGGGCCATATTAGCCAATTACAAAGAGAAAGGGGCGGGGTTATAATCGAGTCTGCCAATGGTTGAAAGAGTTTCTCGTATCCAAGCAACCAGAAACACAGCGCATGCGCACAGTGGACCGCGGCAGTTGGGCTGTGGGCTACAGATACTAACTCTATCGTACGTTGTTAAGGTAACGTAACATTGTAACGTTACTCTTAATGGGCAGATACACTTTGTTTTACAGAAACACCTTCTGGAGATACACCTGCGTGTTTAGTTCCCTTTAGCCTCGTTATGGACAGGCTACATTTAGAAGTAATTTTATTCTCAACACATTAGCTTGTTAGCCTAGCTTGTAAGCTGCTGCTTGTGTAGTGTATAGGCGAATTGCATGTGTGTTGAGCTGTAAGGTATCTCATAGTGACACTTGATGTTTTTGTGTTGTACAGTGTTCATGTAATTACCGTGTGAACTTATTTGGTGACAGGTGAACAAACATAAAACTCCTCATGTCTTTCTACAACTCAGGCTCCTTCAGGTAATGCTGGGAAGTACGATTATAAACCGTCGACAACATGTTGGGCTGCAGAAGCTCTCAGCGCTGGCAGGAGTTACACATTCCTCTTTGGGCCCAAATAAAAAGTACAAGTTCATCCAGGATGACACGAGCGGGGAGTCAACGCTTGTGTGCTCGTGTTTTCGCATCTTCGAGAACCTGGAGCTGACCTGCGCGGTGGGTCAGCTGGTTTATGAGACTATTGAAGCCCACCAGAAGGTCCATCACACGGGGTCTGGATGCCTGCTGTTTCTCGCAGGAGCGTGGAGCCGTGTCGCTCTGGAGTGCCTTCAGAGAGGCATTTCAGTAGCACAAATCATTTCCGCTCTGTCTGAAGGGATGGATATATGCTTGGATGTTTGCAGGAAAAGCAGCGTCTCAACTGAGGGTCTTGGTGTGGAGCAGTCAGAAAGCTGCACTGCAACATCTCAGAGTTTAGGACTTGACCTGTCAAAGAAACACACTGCAGAGGCTTCACAGGCATCCGGCTACCTGCAAGGGACACCAAAAGGTTGGTCACAGGACCACAAACACCAGTGGACAGAGGAAAATAAAGCTCAGCAGACATTTCTGGGAGGCCTCGTCAGAAAATGTCTCCACAATGCCGCCACCCCGGGAGCCTAAGCTTCTTGACATTGCACACATTGCTGAGGGATTGAGTCACGGGTACATCAATGCAATGAATTTAGCAGTCGAAGCCAGCCGAATACAGTCAAAAAATAACCAGCAAGACCGCAACTGTCCCACGTTTGACATCACTAAAGTGGTGACTTGTGTGCTACCTGGTTTACCAGAGGAGCACTCGTGTGTTCTGCCAGGCTGCATTGTTCTCTTATCTGAGGAACAGGCTTCAGTTGCACATCACTTAAAAGAACAGCACCTGAAGGTTGCTCTAATTAACGGAGATTTATCAGCTACCTATCGCCATCTTGGCTATAATCGGCCAGCAGGTGTACAGTGTGTGAGTGACCAGTCGCATTTGTCAAGTTCAGATAAAGAGGAGGAGTGGGTGGAAAAGGTTGTGACACTTCTGCTGAACCTGGAAGTGAACCTGATACTAGTCAGTGGGCTTGTTCGTGAAAAAGTGATTCAATGCTTTTGTAGACATCATATACTCGTGGTGGAAAAAGTGAAGGCTTCCATTTTGAATGCATTCGGTAATACGACGGGAGCTGTTCCGGTGACCTATGCCTCACAGTTGAGTCAGCACTGTCTTGGCTCTGGGGTTAAAGTTGTGATATGGAGGGACCTCAGCAGTCATGGGAGGAAGCCTTCAACAGCTGTAAATATTTCCACTGGTGTGAACAGCGAATTGGTCACAGTGATCCTCTCAAGCTGTGTACGCGGCAAGCTGCAGGCGCTGGAGGACCAGTTTTGGGCATGTGCTTATCGTTTACACCACGTGCTGAAAGACCGGGTCCTCCTGCCTGGTGCTGGAGTGACAGAAATGCTTTGTGTTCATCACCTTCGAAAGCAAGCCGAGCACCACGTCAAACACCAAAGAGAGAGGAATGGAGACTCTGTCCAGCAAACCAAAGCAGCTAACCCTTACAGGGGCGTAGTGTTGCAGCTCATGGCAGATGCCTTAATAGATTACGTATCCACTGTAATGGTTAACTCTGGACGGTTTTCAAAAGTCCGAGCCTGGACTGCAGTGAGCCGACAACTGCAGGACTGTAACGAGGGTCTATCTGCAAAGTTCTCCCAACTTTTCTTGGGAGGTGAACAAGATAGTGTAGTTTCCTCAGCAGCAGTAAAAATCTATGATAATCTGAGTGTGAAGCAGGAAGCGTGGAGGAAAGCCATAGATCTGGTTTTCCTGGTCTTGCAGGCTGATGCAGAGGTCATCACAGGCATTGACCAAAAAGCTGATGGTGCACAGGGAACTCTGATGCTGTTATGACCTTCATGCTGCATCTTAGGGAATTAACTGTCTATTTACAACTTTTGGAATATTTTTGTTTTTTATTTAGACTGTGAAAATGTGTTTAAAATGTGTTTTTTTTTTAATGATTGGTACAAAGTGAAAGAAGAATAAAGTGTTTTTATATCTCTTATGTTTTTGTCATTTATACATAGTTAAAGACCAATTTTCCTCTTCAGTGGAGCAATGCTACCTACTTGGTACCACTTGGGGGAGACAGATGATTGTGTGACACTGCAGTCTGTCTGACTCTTTCATCCAAGCTGATTCACATTAATACATTATGATTAATTAAAGGAGTGCAAGGGTGAGACTCACAAATATTCTCATTTCAGACCTCCACTGAATGAAATGAAGATGTAAGGTAAAAAACAAAGAAAGGAGCAAAACAGCATGTATGAGGGGGTGAAATGTGTTAAAAGAGAGATTTATCTGATTGCCTCTTTAACCTTTGCCATCCTGACCTCCAGGTATTAAAAGACGAGAACAGTGTCTTGAGAAAACATACATCAAGTGTAAGGTCAGTAGTAATATATTTCCATATTTTATTGAACTTTTCCTCTTAGTTATTATATTTTGTCTTGAAGTTGCTGCGCATTATTCTCATAGGAAATCCCCTAAAGTTCAGTTTATTTGAATTATTAACCAAGCCTGACTTAGCTGACACTACTTGTACGTGGCCTTGCACACACCTTGTCTTCGTGCTCCGTTCAGCCAGGAAAACCAAATAGTACATGTCCAAAACCACAATTAAATTTCCCTCTTGTGGAGCATGGGAGGAATTTTGTTTGCCAGTATGATTTTTAGTCTTGGTACACTTCCGTTACGATATTTGCCTACGCTTCATTATGTGTGTACAGCCTGGGCAGCACTGTTCACATTGGACATTCCCCCTGCCAACTGCGGTTTTATGACCTGCTCTGTCTAAAAGGGAACGGCTGATGGAGAAGGAACGCCTCCGGGTGAGTAAATGGTTTTGGTTAAGTCTTATTAGGGACAGTTCAGAAGTGAACTAAAAGTAATTACAACTTCCAGAGGTCATTTTAGTTGTTTGAATTCTAGAAACTCTTTGTCTTCTAACATTTCCCCTCCTACATGATCATTGAAAGGTCACAGAAATATGACCAAGCCACCACGCTCTGACCCTTGCATTTCTCAACACTGGATGCTTGAAGTTGGTTCAACCTGGAATTCGGGCTTATTTTGGATCAGTGTACAAAAATATAAGAATATGATTTGAAAACCTTCAATCCAGTCTGAAAATGGCTATTTCAAAGAGAAAATGTCTACTACTTGGAAAAATAAAAAACCCCAAAACAATGACAGTTGATATGAAAGTAAAGCATACTCTACGTTATCTTTAGACTTTTTCCTATGCTCGCATTGTATTTCAGAGGTGTTAGTTGCATCAACACGTGAGACCTTCCACTTCCTGTGAGATCAGAGGGCTTCTTGACGTGTTCTAAAAATAGTTCAATGAAATAAAAACGTTACAAAGGCTTTTACGGTGGAGCAATAACAACCTTGACTCAGGCATCACTCAGCAGCGGGGCGGCCGAGGGTGGGCTATGACAACATAACGTGTGTGCTCCACGCTTCATCTGCAAGGAGAAGACCTTTCACTGATGCATGTGCAAATTCATACATTACCTTAAAAATGTAAAACCTAAAGAGGTGGGTGAAATGATCCAGTTTTATTTCTGCAACCTGACAGCATGGACAGTTCATTTCACTTTGACAGTGTCACCATATTCAAAGGTGGTCTCAGTACCTGGCAAATCAACAAAAAAACTGTTTGCATATTGAGATATTTGATTTGTTAATGGAAAATAAAAGTTTTAGATTAAAAAATAAATAAATATATATATATATATATATATATATATACACACACACAGTTGGATTTAAACTGCTATTCATAAAATTTCAATTGTAGTTTTAAAATAAAGCCATCAGTATGGGAACGGGTGCCATACTTACATTCTTACATTCTTACATACATACTAGAATGTCTCACTAATTTATTTTTAGAAAGAAGCCACTTGCAAACCATACATTTTGTTCGGGCCACATACTATTGTACTATTGATGTTGGAGAGTAGACCAACCAGTTTACTGTTGCAGTATATACTGTTGGTCTAATCACTCCATTTAGCTAGCAACTTTTGCTGATGGAGTAATAGTGTAATAGTGTAGGTTGCCTGTTCTAGCATTGTTTTTGTCCATTTAAAGGCAGTGATCGTTATTTGTGATGATTTGGTCTGATCTTCTGTTCCAGATGCCATTTCAGAATTCAGCATACTAACAGCATTAGTAGTGCCGCACAACATCAATCCATCAGCATTAATCAGGTTGAAAAGACCTCTAAAGGAGCATTTAGACCAGGGGACGCTGAAATCACTGAGGCCAATAATACTTAATATAATATTCATCCATGCCAGTGTTGAATGTGATGGGTCAACATCAGTCAAACCCTAACTGAAAAGACCTTGACGAACATCCACAGGCCCTCTTTTTAGTCCATTGGCTGTTTTGTCTTATTGGAAACTGACATCTTGCAAAAAGGGGAATTCTCAGCATGGAGTTTAGTGATGGGAATTTTCTGAAAATTTCTGGTCCATCAACAAAATGTTCCAAAGAAGACAGAAGTATACATAGAGTAGGTCTGTGATTGAAAAGGTCAGTAGTTTGAGTTAAACCCGGCTGTGGAAGGTGTATCAATAATCTATCGTGTCAGTACAATGCCCTCTAATTATAATCATTCTTACATTTGTATTGTACTGTACAGGTGGGGCTCAGTAATGGTATACTTGGCACACTGCCTTGGAGGATTTTGCCCAAACAAAATATGTGCATTCAGCAATCCCACTCCACATAAATATTGGATAGACTCTTTTTGGAGAGTTCTCGATTGATACAGTTCCAGGAAATGGATCCAGAGGATGCCCAAAACCATCTGAACCCTTCCTGTGGTTGGACTCCTATTTTGACTTCAAGTCTTACAACTATTCAAGTCTCCGGCCTTAGTCACCCGAATGGCCTGGCTTGCCTGGTTGGATGTCAGACGTTTCACTGACCAGTTTCGGGGAGGGTCACCAACATGACGTCAACCGAGAGCACAGCTGACTTTCTACTGATCCAACAGGAGTTTCAGATGTGGTTACTTTTACCCAGAAGCCCAGACCAGTGAGTGCCCATTCTGACAAATGGATGGCCTTGTTGGTCCTAAAATCGAAAAAGAAACAAATCCTGCAATAATAACTCCCATCACTGATCCTCCATTCTGAGGACGTTGGGAATAGCAATTAAAATCACTCACTCGTGATCTAGGCTTTTTCATCTGCCAGTCTGCTGGCATTTCTGCTTCACATTGTTGTGTTTTACCTATGAATAGCACAGAGTAATTCATTATGTCTCTCTTTTCTTGCTCTAAAGCAGACTGCATGAATGAAAGCACTGGTTCTGTTCACATGCTGGCCGCTGCTCTTGGCGCTATTAAGGGGTTTCAGTGACACAGTCCAAGTTGCACGTCCCCCTCTGCTTGCCCTCCTCTCCTTTCTTGACTTCTGCTGGGTTGGCTGGTTAAATTAGTGGGCGTGAGCATGTGTGTTGGTGCTCCTAGGGCGCATGCGAACTGAGGCCCAAAGGGGAAAGCCTTCCACACAGATCTAAGCCAGCTGCCCTGATTTAAACACTTCATTGCAAGAAGAGTGGAAGAGAGGGGGAACCCGAATGCATCCCCCCTACCAGTGTGCTCAAAGTACACTGGAAAAGCAGCTGCCAGCTCTACAAACAACAGACGAGCAGCTACAGATGGTAGATTTAGACGTTTGCTGTGGAAGCGTTTAGGAGTCCTTCTGCTTCACATTCTCAGGACTAAGAGGGCACTTGCTGCCCTGAGAGGGGGGTGTTCCAGCAAACTGACCTCTGGGGTTAAGCAGAATCAGTTTGTGTGAAGCCCTGTGAAGGAGGGGAGGAGGGAACAGGCAACAGTTAGTGGGAGGTGGGAGGCCACAGTGGGGCTCCTGCACTGCTCAAGAAGGAGACGAAGCAGTCGCCGGGAAGCGGGGAAAGAGGAGGAGATGGCCACGGGAGAAATCACAACACTTCCCTCCACACCTGAAGACGGCGGCAGTGGCGGCTTTCCTCCCGGGAGCTTCAAGGAACCCAAAAGGCTGTACTGTAAAAACGGGGGCTTCTTCTTGAGGATAAAGTCTGACGGGGGAGTGGATGGGATCCGGGAGAAGAACGACCCCCACAGTAAGTGCTTCCAGTCCCCCTCTTCTTTGCTTTGCACAGCACACAAAGCTTCTTTATGTTCTTTTTAATGCAACAGGGAAGTAGGAGTGAAACAAAAAAAAGCAATCATGGAAGAACGATGTGAATTTTCCAGCCTACTGAGGTTTATTCTCCACTTGTAAACACCAAAATGTGCGTAGGTCTACTTCTGGAAAGTGTAATAACTCCAGTTCAAGAGACGTACACTTCAAAGTTTCTTGATCAATGGGAACTTTGATGGAATATGTTTTTAGTAAATGTAGATCACCATGCTGAGTCACAGCCATTCACACTGCTCACTGTGTGGTTTACGTCACAGACAGCATAACATGGAGATAAAAGCCAGAAGAAGTGTATTCCTGATTTAGAGGTCCCTGTCAGTGTTTGGGGCGAAGGAACTTTTGCCAGTAATAAATGTAAACTATAACAAAATATACTTTTACCACTCATCAGCACCACCAGTCAATCAGTATTGATATAGAAAGTGAAAGAGTTTTAGGCTTTCCTACTGTTCAGTTAAAACTATTGAAGTGGAGACATTAACGTGTTAGGCCTGGGCAACTGTGGTACCCGTCAGTGCCTCTATCACTCATTACTTTAAATGTGTTACATCAGTTAGTGGGAGGGGAGGAGTGGGATAATGAAATTGGGGTTATTTCCCGAGGAAAACTTGTTTGGAAGTGTATTGCCCAAGATGCAGAGTGACATTTTGTGTGCCCAAACAAATGCCTGATATGGAACAAGTTCAAGGAGAGAGGAGCTATTTTTAGAATAATTTAATTACTTACAGTATTTGTGAAATGAACCAGGAGATTAACCTTGTTGAGATGATGGGGTTTTTCTTTAAAAGAAAAAAAAAACTACTTCCTGTTATTCTGGATATCAAACACTTGGTATGGGCTCAGAAGGGAATATAAACATAATGAGTCATAAAACAGGAATCAGTATTAATCATTTCGCTTTTTACCGTAATGGTTTCTTACAGTTAATGTGACCTGAGCTGTGCTTCATCAATGGTTCTTTTGTTAAGGCTGCAGTAGTCCTGCCAACCTTTTGGACAACTAAACATACCTGCCAGTTGGAATTGGAACTTATAGTGAAAAAAGTTACCCAATATATCCAAGGATCCTCAAGCTGTTTTTTGTGCTTATGTAGATGAGACTCTTCTCCATCACAGTCGTGTTCTTAACTTCCTATCCCAAACGTTTCTGGGGACAATACTGTCACAAATTGCATCACCGACCCCAGGGCAGTTACAGATAGGACCACACTGAACTAGAGAACAGTTGGGGGAAAGGTTTCCTGTATTCACAATAGCTGTGAGACATGATATGCCCAGTAAACATTGAACACACCACAGTACACTCACACCAATTATACATTTCTTTCAGAGAAGAACACCTCTTTGATCTGGGACATGAATCATTCAGATGTAATAGCGTAACTTTAGACAGATGTGTGTCTATCTGAAGTCTTAATGTGGATTAATTCTTGACAGATCCCCTAATTTACCTTATGGGGCCCCTGCTTCCTTTTTGGTGGTTTGGCTTCATTCATCATGCAAAGTATGCTCTCTTGGCAAGTGGTGTGTACAAAACAAAAAAATGTGGAGATGGTTTCGATTCATCTGTGAGGCTGTCACATGGCCAACAGGTACTGTGTGCTCAGACTGCCACAGGGTGATACTACTGTTCAGTTGCTGATGTGTGTCAGCTTATTGTCATCAGTGGCGTCACTGGTGTTTCATCCATTTACTGCGAACAGAGCTTCAGCCAGTGTTAGCCAAAACATGGAGGAAAGCCAAAAAGGCAGCTCAGTTTTCTGTGCTAGGAGGTGAAGGACCATGACCTGATGTTTGGTTATATGAAAATAAATGCAATGTATTTAGGCTCATCTTTTTTTCAGTGGATCTATTGCTTTGTTTTTACGGCACATTTAGGCTACTGCATGGTTCACTGTCATCACTCTTGATCGTGTTGTTTCCAGCGAACAAACTCTGGTCAACCCACGACACGCTGACTACCAACACCATACGGCAGACAAAGTTAGTTGCTAGCACGTTAGGAAGAATGTACCAGCTTAAGACCCAGATAAAGTCCTCAGGAGTTGGTGGATTAGAGTGAATATTGGACTTACATTCATCATGTTATGGTGATATGTTGTGCCGTGTACCTGTGAGCTTGTTTTGGTCGCAATGCCCCCTAGTGGCCTTAAATTGATCAAAGCAGCTTTAAGTGTCGATATATATATTTCTTTTTGCTCTTGACGATTAGATTCCTCTTCCTGGTTTGTACTATGAAGCACATCATCAGTTTTTCCTCCAAAATTCAACATTAAATGTCCTGTAGCAAGCAGTTGTTAGCACAGACTGCCATTCTTTTTGGCCATGATCGTCTCACTGGTGTCTGTTGTACTGTAGGTAGAGATGTCATATTGAAATGCCTCACATAGTATCTTTATTGTGATTCTTGAGTTGTTGTGTCCAGGAGTAGATTAGTTATAAAAAAAACAAAAAAAAGAGTCAAGCGTGCCAGTGATGTAGCCATAAAATAATGTACATTCACTTACTGTTTCATTGTGATGAAATGTAGGAATCCAGTACCTAAGATATTTGATCTTTCACATAAAACACATGTATTAAACACATAAGCACGATATTTTCCGTTGGATTAAACATCCTGCAAGCAAACTACAAATGAGATTCTGGATTTGCTCATTTTGTTCAAATAAACTTTTGTCTTTTCCCTCAGTAAAGCTTCAACTCCAGGCGACCTCAGTGGGGGAGGTGGTCATCAAAGGGGTTTGTGCTAACCGCTATCTGGCCATGAACAGAGACGGACGACTGTTTGGAGCGGTGAGTGAATGGGATTATCATCTTTCCATTAACAAAACCTTTTTGAGAGGACTGTAAATGCAGTGCAGTGAAATAATCAAACAGAATTTCCTGAAAGGGTTCAAAGAGTTTTTCTTGGGCTGTCCTTTTTAGAAATCTGTATCAAACACTTACTGTAGAGTTCTTCTGGTTGGCCGAGAAGTAAGTTGACCCCAGTGTGCGGTTGCCAGCAGAATTTAGGCTTCAATATTTTGGAAAACAAATGTTTACCAGCCACTCCACAAGCAAGCCCCCTTCAGCGAAGGGAAGTAATTGGGTTGACACTCATTCATCATAGTTAACACTATTAGACATTAGACTGGGCCAAGTCAAAGTGATCCTGTTAGAGATGTATGGGGTTCAGAGAGTTTTGTATCTGTTTGTTTTGACCGTTCAACCGAGGCATTTCTCCCAAATCCAGTCAGTTCGACCGTTTGTCTTTCTTTCCGTTCTTGAGTCTCGTCCTCGGCGCTCACACTGCCTCAGTCACGCAGCTGTGGCCAACAAAATCATGACACTCGTCATGGTAAGCTGACACGTCTGGCTTGGAGTGTTAAAATCCGATGTTACATGACTTCGGATTTGATTTCAACCCAATACCAATACAATCAAGACAGGCTTGGAAATAAGCAGTAAATAAGATGCAGCTTATTTGGGTTAACACAACAAGCTATATTCCCATTCCCAATTCAGTGAGGAGAGAGCACTTGGAAATTAATGGAATTATACCACTATGATAATTATTATGATAATCTTCATGCAGTAGCAACAGCATAATGTTTTGATGATCACACTCCAGTGGCATCTTTGTAAAAGTCAGGCCCATGAAAACAGGATAGAGGACAGAATGTCTCCAAGTGTCTAGACGTTGCTTGGGGAGACTTGAGCAAGCAGGTATTTGCACGCTTTTATTGCGATTTTTTTGGGATCTCCATGGACAACCTGAGAGTCACGGGGGTGATCGGGAAGGTTGGAGGGTTGAGCAAACACTCGGGCCTGAGAGACGAATACAGAAAAGAAGAGAGAAAGATATTTAAGGAGCCAATGAGTGATTGGTTCATAAAACATGGGAAGGCAGACTGCTGTTTCTGTCTCATAGTCAAATAAGTTTAGGCACTCTGGCTTTTGTATTGTGGAATAAATCCTCATTACACTACGTACTGTCGCAAATGAAACTGATCTCACAGCAATTTTCTGAACGCTGGTGAGAAACAGCAAATGCTGATATGCCACCGCTGCTGGTCTGCCGCCATGACATTGTTGCTCACAGCGGCAGTGGAAGTGTGAAGCGGTGGTGAATGATGTGGTTGGGTGGTTATGAAGGCTTGTCCACAGTCCATGTAATTGGCAGGAGGCATTTCCTCCTAATGAGAAGCTATAGCAGCTGCCACCCAAGGCGTCTCTCTTAACTTCTGTGTGGAAAATCATTAAAAACCCACAAAATATTATTACCATTTGTTGACTTATATGTAGATTAACATTGTTATTGCCAAAGAAATTAAATCTTTTTCCCCTCTTGGCTGGACGTGACTCTAGTCTTGTCTTGCACGTCTTATTTTGAAGTCACCTGCTATGTAACACATCCTGTTATATTTTTGCTATTATAATTGATGATTCTATGCAGATAAGATGAGAAGATTAGACTTATTTTCAAGATTAATTCCACCCTAAAACTTTAACAAACAACATATTATATATTATTTTTTTTTTTTTTTCATGAATGTAAAATAAAAGCCTGGATACAACAATTAATTGGACACCTCTCTGTTTATCAATGTTCTCCCTATGTCTGGGTGTGTACTAACTTGGGTGACTAATGGTTCAGTGGTCTTCCAACTGCAGAAATAAATAAAAACAATCGGCACACATGAGCACCTCCACTGCTGTTATGCTTACTGCTGCACATTTTCAGTACCGATGGAGGATTATTGTAACTGATTTTGCATAATGAAGTGAACAAAAGTAGCCCTGGGTGGTTGTTACAGTTGAAAGAACAGGACTTTTGACTAATAGCTCCGTCGCTGTGCAGTCACGGTCGACTAATAACAGAAAACTTAAACAAAAGCCTCTTGTTGGACAGGGTGTAGAGCGGTTAACGCCCAGCGAGATTTTGGCCAGACGTTCAGTAATTAATGTTTTCTTCATATTCTCTACAAAGCACAATGTTAAAAACACTTAAAACAGATATGGTCAATAACAACACCAGAGCCAATTCATTTCTATCAAATTCAAGTTGGTCAAAGATGTCTTTATTTGTTTAGTTTCTGGATTTGTATAAATTCTTCAACATTTTAGCCCATTCACCCTGATGTGTAATGTTTAATTCCCTTTAAACAAATCTCTTTAGTGTATACATGTGAAACACTAAGCAGAAATGATTCTAAACCAACAGTCTCCTTCAAAATAAAGGTGGCATTTAGTTCGGCTGTTTTATGTGGTAATTTAATGTCATAAAATGTCCGCATTACACATTTTCTCCCTTTCCAACAACATATATTAAACAAATCCAATCAAATATCTTTTAAATGAAACAACGCAGTTGTTGAAATGCTGCTACAAGTAACCAGATGTCCCTCAGGCGGACTTCATCCAGAATTTCATAAGCGCAAATAGAGGATTATTAATATTTTGGAAGTGAACACTGAAGCATTTGATTAAAAGTACACTATGAATGACTTCAGATTCCATTTGTTGAAATACAGTAAATGAGGAGGAGAGCACTGCCATACAGGATAGCCTCCATCATAATACAGACTAGTTTCACAGTTTCTTACATTTCCTCAAGCTACAATCTACTTTATGTGTATTGGGACGGCAGGGAGTCCCAGTAGTTCTTTGTCCTGTAAGCAAAAGCCTGCAGATTTAATCCTCCCAGCAGGCCAACTCCCCTGTTTAAATCTCCTGCACCCCCCACCGTTTCTCACTGAACAGCAGTTACATTCAGCACACTGAGCATCAAATGAAACTTATCTGCTATTCCTCTGTGTCTTTCTCTCCAGAGACGAGCAACAGATGAATGCCACTTCTTAGAGCGGCTTGAGAGCAACAACTACAACACCTACCGCTCCAGGAAGTACCCAAACATGTACGTGGCACTGAAGCGGACTGGCCAGTACAAGTCTGGAAGCAAAACTGGACCGGGTCAAAAGGCCATTCTCTTCCTTCCAATGTCTGCCAAGTGCTAGTCTGGGATCTGGTTGGCAAATATTAAAGGTCTAACTGGCAGCAACAATGAAGAAGATGTGACGGCAATGTAGACAAAGTGTTCCATCAACATTGCCCAAAATAGCTGTGATGCTTTCTGACTGTTATATCCTAAGAGTTAGTTTTTACCCTCAACATGTCTGCTCTTATTCAGTTTCACTTTCAAACAGTGCTACACATTCACACCTGGCTGCTTCCCAGTAAAATATACCAGACAAACCAACTGCTGAACTAGTGCAGCTAACTGGAGCCAGGCATCTTGTTCAAGTGCACCCCTACAGCATTAATAGTTCATTTTACCCACACACATCTCCCCTCTCTCAGCTTCTGACTGCGCAAGCTGCCGTCTGAGTTCAGCTGCAAGATGTAGGTCAGAGCAGAATATTTAATACATGTCTCCTAGATACAAGGCTTTAAGGAAATCACTTAAATCTCAAATCCCACATTATTGTAACTTGCAGAGACGGGATTAATCTGAATTTCTGATCTTGTGATACAAAATGTTTGACAAAATCAAAACTAAGCGCACTAAACACACTAAAATCAAAACCCAAGCACTACTTATATGTTTTTTTCTACTTTACACTTCTCAATACCTTACTTTAAAGGACCAGTGTGTGGGATTTAGTGGCATCTAGGGGTGTAGTTTCAGATTGAAACTCCCTCGCTTTGCTCTCCGTCGAAATACCCTATCTAGAGCCAGTGTTTGGTTTGTCCCTTCTGTGCTACTGTAGAAAGATGGCGGTTCAACATGGAGAACTTCATGGAAGGCGTCTGTAGATATAAAAGGCTCATTCTAAAAAAGGTACAAGAAAACAGGATGGCTCCTATATTCATGTGATTATACACTAATGATAACATAACTATGAATATTATATTCCATTTCTGACAATAGATCCTCCTAAATGTTACACAGTGACCTTTAACGGGTACAGAACAGGTTTCCTGAGCATATCTTTTTCTGATAGAACTGCGTTACCCTGTTAAAAGTGTATAATTTGAGATTTCTAAAAAAGGTCCAAGTCCAATGGCACTGGAGCATAACTTATAAATACACTAATTGTTGTCAATAATGCTTAATTCAATGACAGAAAGGCAGTCAACAAAAATATGACTTTCCTTAACAGTCGTTAGGCTAATTTAACAAGGCAGCCAATATTAATATTGCAGCAACTAGCCACTACCGTTAGCAGTCAGATGAACCAGTGGTTTGCTTGTTAACAAGCTGAAATCTCAATACTGGCCACAAAATGACCTGTTCCCAGTGAAAAGTACAGCAGAACAGTACCTTGCAGCCACTGTTGCCCAACAACTGTGGACTTCCAACCTGGCCGCCAAAAAGTGTTAAACCGTATAAAACTGTGGTCACGCAGGTATCACAATTTTTTAAAAACCTAAAAGTGAATCTTGTAGTTCACAGTATTTAACAGCATTTCTGCTACAGTAACAGTTAGTGTGTGAAACACACGGCAAACATAATTCCAGTCATAAATACACTTTAAATATGAGTAATATTGACAACTATGTGTCAACAGAGCTAGCCATGATATGCTAACCCCATCAGGTCTGATGACGGGTCGCTAGGATTTCAGTGTCGGAGAAAGCTGTCTGTGGTACAGCTGGTAAAACATCCCAGAGTAGACAGCGGGGAGCTCCTCCATGGTGAGGTCGATCTCGTTGAAGCCCCGCTCAAGGCCGTGAAGCAGAAGCCTGGCTACGCGAGAGGTGATGGGCGTGGTGTTGCCGGTCTCGGCCAGCTCGGCGAGGTCCAGCCACTCGCAGCGCAGACACTCCTGAGTGCAGAAATTGATGTCGTAGCTAAGCGGGCCGAGTCGGCAGATGATGTACATGTCCGACATACCGAAGGCGCCGGGGTGGTTGTGCTGCTGCCGGATGCTGAGCAGGGACCTGAACTCGGAGCGAATGCCGGTTTCCTCGAACACTTCACGAACGGCAGTGGCACCTGAGAGAGATTTATATATTAGAAATAAACGCATGTGGAAGCATTTAAAAGATCCTGACAAAAAGGAATATATTTATGTTCCCTTGTCAGAGTCACCTTGCAGACTGATATTTAGATGTGGGAAAAAGGGAAAATACATATATTTTTTGTAAAGACAAACATTTGACGCTGCTTTTTTGGGGTGGGTCATGTGTATAATTTTAAAGCTGCTTTTGAAGTGTTTAAAAAGGTGAATTTGGAGATATAATTCTTTGCGTATATATCGTGCATTATTTTGAACAGTTCAAATGAATGTATCACCTTTAAGCATTATACTAAAATTTAAGGATTTAGCTAGATGTACTGTATTAGTTTGTTTTTTTGCTCTGTTGAGCGTGACACTCACCGATATTTTCTCCTGGATCAGACAAGCCACCAGGGAACTTCCAAGCATTCTTTGTCTGAAATACAAGAGCAAAGTTAAACATCAGTTGCGATAGATGGCACTGCTGTAAATGTATCTTAGAGTAATATCAATGTCAATCATAAAATCTGCCAATGCCGTCCCGTGGCTCTGTCTTACAGCGTGGCAGCAGTTGTTTTATTTGAGATAATAACAGTAAGTAGTTGTTCCAAGGATCATCTTATGTATCTGAACTAATAATTATACAGGCAGAGAGATGTTTAATGCTCTCATCTGAGCGTCCTTTCATTTTATGTTTTATATTTAGTGCCTCACTCTGGAGACTTCTACATTTGATGCGGTGAAGTGTGTCTTCCAAAACTGTTTCACCACTTATCCTTGATATTTAATAACAGTATGCTGCTGGATAAATTATGATGTCAGTGTTGTGTATATATTTTTGTAGTTACTTAAAGAATTTTGTATACAGCGCTTCTTTTTTTTCCCAGAAATGCTATTTCATCTTAGATTTTCCTTATTTTGCAAATCCTCTCTTTGTGAGGACCACAAATGCACTACAGCATTTATTTTCATGTATTGTCAACAAAATGCTATATTTTTTGGAGCTGTTTCTAAAATGTGCTGGAGGGAAAGAAATAAAGAGATTTTGTGTAACTCTAATCAGTGTGGTTTTTCACAGTAAAACATCTCATCCCCACAAGAGCTGTCAGAGCTCAATGTGAAAATAATAACGGCAGAAACACTTGCTGGGAGGATGCCGGCCATATGCAAACTGTTCACACTGAATCTACTGGGAAATGTAAGTAAATGTCATCGGACGATGGTTAAATTAAACGCTTGCGCTCATTGCATCATTCAGCTCCGCGATGGATGAAATTACCTTCGGCCCATTGGGGATCTGTCACTTATCTTTTGTACAGATGTGAGAGCGATAATGTCCTGCTTTTTCCTCAGGAAGTTCGTAACCCTTCGTGAGCTCTGAGCTGGCTCAGTCTGCCAGAGACGCTCTACTGCCAAGGGCCAGACTGTTATAAAGCCCATTTCCAGTAAACAGCTCGATGGGGAGGAGGAGGAGGAGGAGAGGAAGAGATAAAACACTCCCCACACGTCCAGGCCACTAACTGCTTCCCTCTGCTTCTGGACCAAAGCCATTAAGATACATTACATGCTCTTAAGATTCCCGGCTGGGGCACACGTTACATGCTGTGTGCAAAGAAAGGCCAGCAAACAGGCCCACTTAAAAATCTCTCAATTATAATGTGAACTATATTTGTCATTGGATTGACAATTTACAGTAAACGTGTTGGGCTATTTTTACTGGAACTGCTGAGACACCAAAGAGAAATAAACAGAGACTGCAAATTAGGGGGGTTGTTGCCCATTATTTGACATATTTAATGCTGCAGAACGATTTACATTATTTAAATTCCTAAACCTTGGCCAAATGCCATAGATTGCCCTATGGTGTCAAATGTTGTCTGCAGATAGATTTAGCTATTAAATGTCTGTCTTTGAGATTACAGTAGAGGAAGGCCTCCTGCCTGGCTAGATACATTTTGAGGAGAATGAGAATGGTTTTTTTTTGTCATTTGGGGAATCAGTTGAAGACCAACAACAGCGTGGAGACAAATGATTCATGTTGTGATAAATGGCGGTGCTGTGTCTTGCGATGCGTTATGGAAACTCTAGCAGAACCATAATACTTTCTGTTGTGTTGTTCGGGGAGAGATCATTTCTTTTCTTTCCAGCAGACATTTGAACCCTGAAATGTTTTCTTCCTCTGGAGGTTCAGCCTTTTGCAAGTTCATGGCTCTCTGACAATGAGTGTTGTGTTCATGTTGCTGTCGAGGGTTAGACTCTGCTCTTTGGAACACAACTAAGGATTGCTTTCATAATCTATGAAGCTACAGATAATTTTGTCATTGCTTAGTTTATAAAATGTCAAAAGAGAGTCAAAGAAAAGTCCCATTGCAACTTCCCAGAGCCCACAATGACATCTTCCAATGTGCTGTTATGTTCAATCAGCAGTCAAAACCCCAAAGATACAGTTTACAATGAAATAAAACAGAAGCAGCAAATCCTCACATTTGAGAAGCTCTAAGCTGAGTTTGCTTGATAGGTGACGTAAACAATGAATCAAACCTAGATTTTAGTCTTGTATTTTTTGTTTATCGACTAAAGAATAATAGAAAATTGAATTCCACACACATTTTATATTCGGTTATTGCAGAATGTGTAGTACATAATTTCCTTGTACGATACAATATGTTGCCTTTGCAGTGAAACCATCATTGCTACTGTGGTAACATTTTGTGATCCTCAGGTAACCACTGTAACCCTGTGGTTGTTTTAATATCTTCTTTAACGTGTATAGGTGACCTAGGTTTACTTTCTGTGTACAGTGTTGGTTCTAGATATGCAGAATAACACAGCATTAACAGGAATTTGTTCTGCTGTTACAGTGATGCTAATTTGCCATAATGTTAGGCTAGATGCTAATGTATGACCATGTTAGCATATCATTTGCATGTGATTCTGTGGCTAGCGTTAGCACTTATTGGCTGTTTTGTAACCATACAGTAACTTTGCGGTCCTAGCTAAGCTACATTATAACTTCTTTGTGTTTGTGGTTTATTACAGTTATCACTTTATACGTGAAGATGATCAACAAAAGGAGCAAGGCGCTCACTTCCTGGCTCGTGAAAATCGAGTTGTGTTGTATAGAACATGTAATGGGAACAGCATAGTGGGATGTTGTTAAGGGTTAATGTGTGCAGGCAGCTGATGCTCCAGTGTCACTTTGCATTATATCATTACTGGTGTATATTATGTTACATGGATATGCATGATGCCAGGACCTGCTGACATACGATGCATCAAGGTTTTGGCAGCTGTAGTAGTAGTGGTGGTGGTGTGTGGTCACATTACAAAATATTATGTTGTATAAAGGACAGAAGCTGCTGCCTTTACCAGAACATTTGTTCTGTTTAGCTTACGGAAGGCAGAGTTTGTGTGTAAGGGTCTTTACTTGTTGCCTCATTTATGTCAAGTCCAGTAAGCTGGTTTATCTTAAAATATAATTGGTTTCCAAATCGCAGCATCTTGGTGCAGTCTCTATTTCAAATTGGCTGCAGTCTTGTTTTGGCAAAATGTGAAAGCAAACAAATCTGTGTAGAAAGCTTTTTTTAAGAAGAGGCCTGTTGTGAGTCAGCCTCCTAACAACTCGAGCACTACACCAGGGCTCTGTGAGGGCTGACGGAGACACACGCTCACAGAGTTGTTTGAGTGCATTCAGCTTTGTGTAAACACCGTGTTTGCTTGAGGTCAACTAATGTTGTGTGGAGCTATGTTAAGTGTGAGAGGAGTTGAATGTCTGAGAGGATTTCCACCCACGATTGGATCAACAGAGGCTACATACAACTCACTGAATAAACAAAACTAATCACTGGCATTTTTAGTGGCACCAAGATATCGGGTGCTTCATTGGCTCATTTGTTCATTGTGGATGGAAGGATCTGTTTTAGCTCATTGGCTCAACCAGGGAACAGCTGGTGAACTACCTGCAAAAAATAACTCTTAACCAGCCAAAATATAGCATGTATCATTCTTCCAATTTACTAACTCAGTGCTTTTGTTGTTTTCTGAGGGTAAGCAATATGTTTATTATGACTTCCCATTGTTATAGCCAATACATGCACACGTTTACTGAAAATAAATCCAGTGAAAAGATCCAGTGTGTAGGATTGAATTAATATCAAATGAATATGGTCTATATGGCAATAAAACTAGATATTTTATCTTTAATGAATGTGATGCAGTGCGACTGGTTACAATGTACAGTTTGTTCAAACAATAAAGTGACACATCTACCTTGTTTCTGTCTTGGACGACTAGAACTTTTCCACTGGATTCATCAACAACTGCACCTGGACAAAACAAACCAAATCAATTACACATTCATCTCAATTCTTTTCTCTTTTTTTTGCAAGCACCTAAGCTGGTCCACATTTTCACTGAAATACTGCGTGAACAATTTAAAAAGGAAGACCTGTTGGCAGTCTAGCTCAAAGTTAATTATTAGGTTGGACACAACATCAAACCTGCACCACGTGGAGGAAAAATCCTGGAGCCGAGCCTCCGTCGGGCCTCAAACACAGCAGCTGCCTTGTACAATTTGCATTTTCTAACATGCTGTTAAAGATCAAACCAGTCCACGGACAAACCAGTCAAGTAAATGACAGTAATATTGCTAGGTTTGTTGCTCATTATTTAGAAAAGTTGGGATTTTTAATTTAGTTTTAATTTTGGTATAGCCACTTCACAGTTCGAGAACTGGCTATACTAAAATTTTAAAAAGGAGTAATAACTTGTCAGCCACTTGACTTTTATCTAAAGCCCCATACATTACCGTTAGTGTATCACAGTTTAAGAAGCCCCAGAGCACTGTTACTGTAAGGCTTCAAAATGCGCTTACATGTGAGACTGCGTCCAATGGCAAAGTGTTTATACCTGCTCCTATTGGCCACACTTGAAGGTGGGAGAGGGAAGGGATGGGTTGAATGATGGAGGAGGTTTTGTGTAAATTGGGATATCTGTGGACACATTCGTACAGGCTCTCTTCAAAGCGATTCATGGTGTTGGTCTTGGTTGTACAGTGATGGAAGTCTTCGGTGGTGAATTGAATTGCTGATGAGTCACACCAATATGTGATCCATTGGTTATATAAAAATATTGACTATAGCCGCTTTAATGTCAAAACTACATTTAGAGTTAGTACGGGCAAACGTGTTACTTCTCAAAAAATATGAACTACATATGCATCTGTTCTTTAAAACATGTTCCAGAATCGTAACGCATGGACTCTTAAATGCTTAAAGCAGGTTGATTTCTGAAAATAGTGGGTTAAAATCAAATAGATTAAAAGCAAAATCCTTTACTTTTTTAAGGTACTGAAAAATGGGACATCCTTCACCATTTACAAATGTTCTCTCCTGTTTGAGCAGCAGGTAGTGACTAAGAAAGGCTATGCGCTTCTGCTGACAGCTCAGGAGGAGGAGGAGGTGGATGAGGAGGAGGTGGGAGGACAGGCCACTTTCTTTTCCGGTTGCTCCGTCTGACCGGGACGGGCCTCCTTAAATGAATGTCACAGATGTGTAAAGAGGGATGGGTCGTCTGACTTGGACTTCCATGTGGAAACTGATGTCATTCCCAATCCCTGTGCCATATGGCGCTTCACAGGAGGAGGCCTGGTTGCTGCTGAGGGAGGCTATCATTATGTAGCCTTCAGTCTAGGAAACAAAATGCTCACAAGCAGAAGGAGGAGGAAAGAAAGGAGAATAGGAATTATGAGACAAAAAGCCCAGAAGTAATCATCAGAGGGGAACTGTGGGTTCTGTAGTAAAAAACTGTTAATCGCTTGAGGTCACAGTTTGCTTCAGAGCCAAAAAAAAAAGTTTGATATCTTCTCTTAATTCATATTTCACAAAGGCTTCTCCTACTACTCCTTGGTTTTCGAATAATTACAGGTTCACAGTAGTTCTGCAGTATACTATGAGGTCACAGTGATGCTGACCGTGCAGTCCTGACTATCTTTTAGTTCGTTTGACAAAATACAATTATTGAAAGGTTCAGTGAGTCACTATATGATGCATTCAACCATGAAACACTCCTTGTGATTCACAATAACGATGCTAACTGTGTATATATATCATCCAACATTTATTTTCATTATTTATGTTAAAGCTCTGTGGAGGGCAGCTTACTCAACCTTTAGTTGGGCGGATACAGGATATTCATTTAGACATGGATAGCGTGGAAAGCTTCAGATGCAGCAGAACACACTTGTTCTTGGAATACCATCTAGAATACTAGCATTAATTATAGTCTGTAATATTTTAATGACATAAAATTAAAGTTCTTAACCCTGTCCTGAGAGGTCAGAGGTCAAGAGCAGCTGGAAGGATTTCAGCATCATAATCAAGGAGACTTCAGCAGGACAGATGTTGACATCTCTGGGTGTGTTGAGCCTGGTTTAAACAGCTTCTACTCACCTACTGTGAATTACAGGAAGATGACTGTATTTTACAACTTGAATCATACTGAGCATAATAACCCCTGCCACTAAAGCTGTGAACATGAGTGCTTGGAAACAGATTTATAGGAAAGTCCAACGGAACCAAATAACAAGTCTCAAACATGTCACACACCACTGGAGTGGATTATGAAATCACATTAGAGCTGTGTTCAACCATTAAATTAATCACAAGAAAAAAATATATATATATAATTTGAGCTTCTCAAATGAGAATATTCTCAGGTTTCTTTGCTGTTGTCCTCTATAGAACAAGGCAACTAAGGACTTCACCTTTGGCTTTGGGGAACAATGATCAACATTTTTTGACCATTTTCTGACATTTTATCGATCAAACAACTAATTGATTAATCGAGTAAATGATCCACACATTAATCAATGATGAAAATGTTTGCTATATTTGATGAAAACATCAAAGACCCCCCGACAAGAGACGCAGACATCTGCTGTCTTTAACCACCAGACCAACAATTCAAAAGAATTTCGACTGAAAGAGCTCAATCATCGACCACGAGTCAGCGGACCGGATCAAGGAGGACATTCTGATCATCTTTGAACAGAGACCAGGGTTATGATCTTCCCCTACAAACAACCACCTGTGATCACATCCCCAAAGGTCCATATTGGGCTGATGTGAGAGCTGAGCCAACTCTATCCGCTAAAGAAGACCACTAGACTCCAAAGAAACAGAAAAAGTTGTTTAGTGGAAGATTTCTTTTGGCAAACGGCTGTTTCCAAGGTGTAAGATGATATTTTTATGCTCAGTTCTCAAACAGGTTCTCTCTGCTTCACTCTGGACAGCAGGACTTATTGTTTTGCTTGACTCCTCAGTTACATCCCACATACCACTGTAAACATAGCAGCACAAGTCAACTGACTGAATCTGGACCTTTCTCTACAGTTGATAGTTTTAAATGTTACCTTGTAATTCTATCAGTGGAGGTCACTTTGACCTCAACATACCCATTTTTGACATTTGGGTTCAGGTTGGACAATTTAAAGGCCTTTTGGAGCTTACATTTCCTTTGCCTCACTGCACATCAGTGGTGGAATGTGACTAAGTACCTTTACTCAAGTATTTTCCATTTTGTGCAACTTTATACTTCTACTCCTACATGTCAGAGGCATATATTGTACTTTTTACTCCACTACATTTGTCTGACAGCTTTAGTTGAGTTTGAGTGTGAAACAATGCTACAAACATATAATGTAATCTAATATAATCTTCTAGAAGATTAATTCAACAACCCAACAGTATATAAAGTAGTAGTAATATAATATATAATAACATCAATTTAGCCAGAAATGTAAATCCAAAAACATATTTAATAGTAAAACACTGACAGGGAGCATTTGACTGCACACTGAGTACTTTCACTTTTGAGATTTAAAATAAATTCAGCTAAGAATTAGGACTACATACTTTTACTGTTTTGAATGCAGGGCCTTTACCTGTAGTAGAATATTTTCACTGTGTGCTACTGACACTTTTAGTTAAGTAAAGGATTCGGAATGCTTCTTCCACCACTGCTGCACATCATTATAAATCGGTTTATCCACTGCCTCTATAAGGACGGTAGGGAGTACCATCTTAAATTCTAAACTTATAGCTGTATTGGCCACAACTACAACAAAAAGCTGTGAAACATAAAACAATTCTCTAATGATTAAACTAAACTGTATTGTAGTGAAGGCTGTAGGGTTCCAGACACCAATGTAATGTAAGAACTAATTAATAGGATGACTGCTCTCTGATCAGTACAGTTACAGCCTGATTGCATTATGTGCTGTTCTCTTGTCTTTATCGAAGCAGTGAGCTGAGAGCACACAAGTCTCCCATCATCTTACCAGCTGCATATTTCAGATTCCTGAGCTAAGTTTCATCAGTATTGGGCCATTCTGGAAACAACAGGGGATTTTCAGGACCCCATTCCCTCCTGAAGGATGCTGTGGACATGTTCTGACATGCTTCAAGTAGATCCACTCTTTGGTAAAAGGTATAAACGACACTCTGCCCTCTGCTGGACAACCAGAAACTTTGCACACTTCAGCTCAGCAACTCCTCCTTGTGCTGCTCTTCTCCCCGCACTCTCAATGCTGGTGAGTGAATTTCCATTTACGCAAGTGAAATGGGCCAAAGTTCAAAAATACATAACAGGCCAACAGACAACAACCTTATTGGTATTGTTGTTTTTGTGTGATAACCTAATGTAAGTCATAGCTTCAATTACTTTTGACTTACTGTTACTTATGATTTTTAAGTAACAACAGCATGGATTTGTTCTTGAAAATCATCCCTCCGTATCGACTGAAACATCCCTGAAGCTTCTCTTATGTCTGCATCAGTCTCTGTAGTGTTATCATTTCCAAAATCTGATTTATATTATTATATTATATCATATTTAGCTCTTTCTGGCGCAGCCTGACACCAGTTTTCAGCACTGCTGAACTTTACTTCCATCAGTGATGGAGCCTGTGGTCTGCTCGGTCAGTCAGCAGTAATGCAACACCAGACCAAGCTCTACCAGTCACAGCTGCAAGTCTTTACTGTGCAGGGCAGGTTTAGGAAATGCCTGAGGTGCACATATACATTAGATTTATGAAATAAGTTTATATAATCTGATAATTAAAAATTTCAAATTATGCTTTACTACTATTATACTATACTATAAACTATACGCAAAAGTGCAGTAAATATCGTAAACACCTATCTCTCATTTAGTTCAGTCAAATATAAAAAACTTGAGTCAATTACATAATCATTCATAGATGTATACATATATCTACTTACATGGCCTTGAATTGAGATGTTTTCTAGTGCTGCAACTAACAATTACTCATTATTGATTTATCTGATTATTCATTAATATCAGTTAATAAAAAATTGGAAATGTCAGATGTCTTGATTTGTCCTATCAAAAGTCCAAAGCCCCCAGTTTACAAACATATAAAATTGAATAGACCTTTTTCACAGCAGCCATTTTGACATGAAATACTAGGGTAAACACGGGTGTTATTAAAGATACTAATTAAGGTTCCATTCTATTAAGTATAGCAGAGCCTTTCCAGTGAGCCAACATGCACACCAGCAGCACCCTGACTCTGTCTGAGCTGAATGAACGGGTTAATATGGGCAATGATCAATAATCAAAAGCTATTCGTCATACGTATGTATAACATGAGTGCTGACCAGGTAGCTGTCGTACTGGACATCATATGTTGGATATGCAACCATGAATGTTTGCACAAACACTTAAAATATTTTTTTTTCAACTGCCTCTCGAGATCTTCATCAGATCCTGATCTGCAAACTCATGAGAAGCGGTTGAAAGCTCAGTGAAAAAGCTAGGAAGTGGACCTTTAGGGAAGGTCATTCTGTCAAATATTATTTTCCAAAGTCAAAAAGAAACTTTCAGGATAAAGATCTCTACCTGCCACTCCGATTTGGTGAGTTGCAAACCCCGGCAGCCTGCTTTCCCCTTCTCCCAACCAGAGGGCCAGCACTGCATGGTCGTCTTTGGCGTGATGGAAGGTGAAGCCGTGAGCGGACGCGGCGGCAGCACATCGACTCAGAGTGATCGGTACTCGAAGCCATACTGCGACTTTCCCCTCCGCTTTCCACTGGAGCAAAGAATCTGCAAAGTATACAAGTTAAAAGTTCACAAGGATCTTTGGAAACTTTATTTAAAGGTTTCTTATTAAATCATAAACTGCAGAAACAGGAGATTTGAAAGATTGCTTTTGATGCTTAATCTAATTTTGGAGACAAGATGACAAGCAACAATGACAGTTTGGTGGAAGTAGCTTCAGATTTCCAGAGTGGAAGGTTGCTGGTTGGAATCCCACACTGACTGGAAGAATGCAGCTCGGAATAACAACCACCCATTTAAAGCTGCAGCAACTAAAAGTAACTTTTTGTCACATCAGCTGAAACTTTCACTATATCCTGACAGTAGTACATGAGACAGATAATGTGTTCTAGTGCTCCACCGGGTCTGAAAAAAAACAACCAATCAGAGCAAAGAAAGATAGAAACATGCTTTGGTTTGGTGGCTTGAGGGTTGAGTCTCATTCTCACGACCTTTTGCTCCGATTATGCTGATTCCTTTACGTCTAAAAGTGAGAATTTGCAGCCTTTTTCTCTTCATAAATTAAATATCTTTAGGTTTTAGACTAACCTGGGACCTTGTGACGAGCATTGTTTACTATTCTTCCACATAGAGTTCATCTATTATTCAAGAAACCTGACTGGCAGATTACTCAATGATGGAAATAATAGTTACTTGCTGATATAATACCACAATTTTACCATTGATACTGGATGTATTGTTTTCCTGTATATATTGGTTGCCTTCACCAGTATAATGGGATAAATACATTTCCTGTACCTAAGATTCAGTAGCATACATTTTTCAAAATAAGTCCCAAAGTCATTTCAGCAGGTACATATTATGCTTGCCTGAATACATACTGTGCAAATGTTAAAAACTGATGTTTTCTGAGTCTAGGGCACAGTCTGTTCTAGTTCGTGGTCGGTGGTTGAGGTGAGTGTTTAGTGAGTTGATGTGAAAACATGAGCTGTGCACTGTAACACCCCCCTCTTACTGTCACACACACACACACACACACACACACACAGCAGACTTCAGGACAACCAACCTTGCAGGAGGCTTCTGAATGAGCTTTCGCTGATGTCCGTCGGGAAACCGAGCTCAGCCAGGTTCACTGTCACGCCACCGAACCGGTCCACTTTCCCTGTCAGAGCACTTGACCCGTCCACGGTGTGGATCTGAGCACGAGCTGCACTGCACGCAAACGCACGGGCTGCTGAGCGCGCGGTGCTACTAAGCCGTCCTCTCACTGACGACAAGAGCTTGACAGCAAAGGCACAAGCAGCCATGTTCCTACGTTGCTATTAACAACCGTTTAAAGGTGGTATATTTATATATATTTACTCTATTTTCAGCCGGCATATGCGTGTAGTGCGGTAGAGTTACGTAAAGGTCCACCCTGGAAGTTGCATAAATACCGTAATGCTCTGTAGAAGTAGCTCGAGGTCTTGCTAGACACAAAACAATATGGTCTCTCGTTGTACCATAACAAACTCCATTCATACATTTGATGATTTTAGCTAGCTTACACTTCAAACGATAATTTGACCGTGTCACCGTTAGCTAAAAAATAACCAAGGTATGTTGTTAAATTCGGCTAACAAATATGCCAATTAATCTAAAAAGGATATCATGTGCCGTAAAATCTCAGTCACAGATGAGAGGCTTTACGGTAAACGGAGGCGGGACTAAACTTTAACCAGGAAGTTTACAACGCCGCTCCGTGTTTACACATGTTTGCACCTTCACGTGGAGAACATTGTCGTTTATAAAATGTCTTCAAAGAAGAATAAAAGCAAATCGAAAAAAGCTAGTGAAGGAGACAGCTCACTCTTACCGAAGGAGGCCTCCGATGACTCCTCCAACCTGCAGACATCCAGCCAGGAAGGAGGAAGCTGCAGAAGTTTAAACAGCAACTCATTCACTGTCATCGACTTCATTGAAAAAGGTAAGAGTTATTGCATGAACACAAACCTTTAACGGGCTCTGACACGTACCACAGTTGCAGTGTTTGGAAACCGATCTGCAGTATGAAGATGGAAGATCCGCCATGGTCCCTGTTGCTCTCAGTGATGCTGTTCGATGCTGTACCGCCTGTACTGCTCCGTCTGGCATCGACAGAAACTTATTCCTAACAGTTTTGCCTCTCTACTCCAGCAGATTGACTTTAAAGTGAGACACAAGCTGAGGCAATAGTGGCTTTCAGATCTGAGGCTATTTGTGGGTGTTCATCCTTACTGGCTGACCGACGAGTCCTGTGGATATCATACAGTTACAGCCTGTTTAGGATGAAATTCCCCCTTTGTGATACTTTTTCTCCCCCGAAGCTCAGCACAAAGAGGAAAATGTATCCCAAAGAGACCAACTTTAGAAGATATCTGCTTGATTTGGTTAATTCAGACCTCAAATTAACGTCAGCTACACTTTAATATGTATTTTTGCTCAGAGAGAGGACTGTGTATTTTGTCCCACGTCACTCAGATTGCATTAGGAAAGGATCTGTTAATGGCCAGTAGGAACAGGAGCAGTGATTCCCAACCTTTTTCCTTTAAGGGACCCCTTTTCGATCAAAGTGATGACCCCTGAATAAGTGACATATTTTATGGATATTTCTTTTATATTCAATAACAGTCACAGTACAGAACATCTGATAAACAGTCACACACTGCAGGAAATAAAACGGGTGATTTGGATGCATTTTGAGCAGATAAATAAATAAAATGCTGAGATATGGGCCAGTACTTTTTAAGTTTTCTTACACCCCTTAAAATCAAGAAGTCCTCATGACCCCCCCCCCGTGAAGCTCTGGACCCCCTTATTAAAATTGTCACATGGTTTTACTTGAAAAAAAGCCACCTAGCTCTCCAGCATACAGTCTTATATTGATTGTCTAATTGTTTTGAACAAGGGATGGAGCCACATCTTTCCAGTTATTCCAAAATCTGAAGCCTCTCACCACGGCTGAAGGAAAAAAAAAAGTGTGTACCGTAGAAATTATATGGATTCCAAAATACAGGACAGGGAGATGAGGATCTGTATCTTTTCATGATTATTGTGATAATATTGTGTATCACTATTATTTTGTCCAAGATAATCGTAACATGAAATTTGAATATTGTCCCAAGCCTTTGTAAGTAGTCTCACTGATACCCAAGAACATTTGTGAAATCTGAATGTGGGACTTTTATTGCACTAATTGTTACCACTTTTTGATACTAACATCATGTTTTTGGATACATTTTCTCACAGCTGATGACAAAACACCCAGAAGTTGCCGATCGACTTTAGCCCAACTGGGCCTCAATTCCATGAAGTCAGCCGGCGTTTGCATCGGGAGACCGGTCCTACTGACGAGTCCCTCAGGACAGCAAGAGGTGTCCTTTCCTCTTCTCTCCTCAGCAGTGTGATCAGATATTGTGTTGTACTGTCATTTTTAAAGCTCCACTGACTAATATATATTAAATGTTATGTTTCTGTCTCACAGGTGTGTTTAGGATGGCCGGTCGCCACATTTCCTGGTGGAAAAGTTGGTCTTCAGAAATGTTCTCAGAATAACCTCAGAGTGAAGTCAGGGGATGAGGTGACGCTGCACCCGCTAACAGGTCCTGTGGTTCAGGCCGAGGAGGTGGTTCTCTCTAACAGGTGACGTTTAGCCAAAAGCCTACAGTACACATAACACTCATTGTAATAGGCAGTGGTGGAATGTAACAAAGTACATTTATTAAAGTACAAATGTATGTGCTTGTACTTTACCTGTCTTTTCTTCTACTCCTCTACATTTCAGTGTAAATATATTGTACTTTCTACTCCACTACAATTATTTTAACCTAATATAAAATATGATGCTTACTTTTTTCTTTTAATTATTTCTTTCTTTTTTTTAATTTTTCTATATTGAGTACTTTCCCTTTTAATACTAATATAATATATAATAAGTATATTTTCCTGATTATATTGCCCTAATTTTACTGAAGTAACATTTTCAATACAGGACTTTTACTTGTATTTTTTCAGTGTGGTATTAGTACTTTTACTTAAGTAAACGATCTGAATACTTGCTTCACCATTGGTAATGATATATTCAGTATCTCAGATAAAGACTGCCATCTGCTGGTGGCACCTCACAACTGCAGTTAAAATTCCATAATATTGATTATCAATAAATTATATTAGTCTAGATTTTATTTGACCACATTAAGCGTTTATTTGTAATAATCTTTATGTACAGTGTTTATCATCTGTTATTTAACTTGTTATGATGTATTTATTGTTACTTTATCAATTTTACTTGATCCTTTTATCTAAGTCTGTGTAATATGCTATACAAGTACAGGTCCATTATGTGGAGCGCCTGTAAACTTTAGTGGTTAAATAAACATGTATATTATATATCTATACATATGGGTTATGGGTATGAGTTAAAAACCTAACAAAATGTGTATAGTTGATTCTCACATACATATAACTTTCACTCAGGTCAAAAGATGACACACTTGAGACAGATGAGTTCAAGAACTTCTTACTGAGGTCTCTGGGTAAGTCAGTCACTTCCTCTCACTGTTGCAAGTGTATATGCAAATCAGTAGAAAGCACTTTCAGAGTAAAAGTGGGAATATTGGGGAATCCTAATACTTGCAAAGTTTAACATAACGCTCAGTTTCAAGTTCGGAAAGCTGTGGACTCAATGTCCTGACTGGAGATTGCACAACCTGCACAAACATTTGACCGTGATGAAAAATGGTGAAATGCAATGTAAAACTACAGAAAAAAGACAGACTTGCTAAATTACAATCGCTCAGAATCACTACCACCTATTACCGCACCGTCATGGACACTGACTCCCTTATGTGACATCATTTAATTTTTTTTTGCATTCTATAAAGCCTACTTTTTCCTCAAAATTTCTGCCCCTATGACTGTTAAAACATTGAAAATCCTGCATCAACTTTTCAAATGTCCATTTCCAAGAAACATTTATAGTATAAATGTAGTTAAATTCAACCTTTAAGTTGTACTTTAAGCTAACCGGTCATGATGAAGGTCACTTTGTCTCCAAACTGTGAGAAGAGTTTGATCATGCACCTTTAACTGCATTCATTTGGAAGCATTTTACAGTCTGTCTGTATAAGAGTAAAGAATCCAAAGTGTTAAATGTTTGTAGCAAAAACAGAAGTTGATGTGTGGGTTGTGATTTGATGATAATAATGCTGAAAAATATACGGTTATTTAAGATTTGATATGAGCAGTACGTGCTGTTGGTTTGTATTGTGCTGTTCTATAAATGTGAGGTCTTGTTTTCTTTTCTTTCTTGTTTTTTGGCAAAAAATCATACCGTGTCCTGGTTTTGCATATTGCTCTCCCTGTTGCTCCATCTCTGCCCTGTTTTCCTTTGATGGAATAACTCTACTGGTTTGTGTGTCTTGTGCCAGTTGGGAACATCATTTTGCCAGGAAATGTCATCTCCCTGACTTACTTTGGCCGGTCATGCAGTCTCCGGGTCGAGACCATAAGAGGGGAGGACGGTGTCACCCTCCACAGACCAGCTCCTCCCCCAGGAGCGGGCCCTGACGTGGATTCCTCCGTGATGAACTCCTTGCTGAACTTCACGTCCACTGACCTCTCCTTGCAGCTCAGCTTGCTCACTGTGGATGACAATACTGACGGGGCACCGAGAACGCCTGGAGAGCCCGGGCCTGCAGCCAGCACGCCACGCCGACCAACCAACCTCCCTTCTCTCTCCTCGCCTGCTGCGCTCTGCACCCCTTCCTACAACTCCCAGAATCCTCCTGCAGGGTCAGTGAAGGATGCTGTCAGTCCTGAGAGTTCACTCTGCTCAGAGCAGGCAGAGACAATCCCCACAGCTCCCCCTGGTGGTGTGCAGAGCACTGACACCTTCTACTGCCTCTCCTGCTCCACTACAGTCAGTTTCAGAGAGAGAGCAGGACAGGAGGATTCAGATGCAGAAGCTAAAAGGTCAAAGGTCACATACAGCATGATTGGCGGGCTCAGCAGCCAGTTAGATGTCATCAGAGAGACCATTGAGCTCCCTCTGAAACATCCCGAGTTGTTCTCCAACTATGGTAGGTCAGACAGTATAATGTCATTCCACATGCATGGATTAGACATGCATGATTATTTTGCACACTAGGACTTAATTGAACCTCAAAATTTAAAGATCTAATTGCTTTTCTATGCAGGGATCCCACCTCCCCGAGGAGTTCTTCTTTATGGTCCCCCGGGCACAGGAAAGACTATGATTGGACGAGCCATAGCCAATGAAGTTGGAGCTCACATGACTGTGATCAACGGCCCAGAGATCATGAGCAAGTACGGTTATATCACATCCCCTTTCTATCCCAGTACAACATATAGGGGAGGTTTTACTCAGTCTGGACTACAGTATTTACGATGCACACCACCCTGCACGTGATCTGAAGTCTTAATTAAATAGTAGAGTGGTTTACTAAAAGATGCGTTGTTTTATGTCTTTGCAGATTCTATGGGGAAACAGAAGCAAGACTGAGGCAGATTTTCATTGAAGCGTCTCAGAGGTGAACTTTTGAATGAATCCAGCTGACCATAAATTACCATCATCATCA